ATGAATGTACAAATGTGCTTTACACAATTGATGTATGTATGGATTGTGATAAGAGTTGTATGAGCCCCTAATAAAACGATTAAAGAAAAAAAGAAAACATCCCAACCCAGTCCAGTCTAAGGCCATAAGTCTGATATTAGCCCCTATGTCCAATACCAATCTATAAAGTCCCCTTCAGACTCACGAAACACATGCAGGACGATCATAAGCCAGTGGGTAGAAAGTCTTTGGGTCCAGTGGCATTGTAAGCATCTCAGCGCTGGCAGGGGTCTCTCTGTGGCTTCTCCTGCTTCAGAGGTCTGGTTACATCCATGTGGCTCAGGGCTCAGGGCACTAGGGTATTTCCATGTGTCTTGTCAGCTGCAATGTCTCCCAGGGAGTGGCAGAGAGAGAGAAGTGTCTCCCGCCTCCAAGGAGGAAGTACATTGGCCTCATTGGCTATGATCTGATTGACAAGCTAGACTCCACCCCTTCACTCTTAATCCTCAAAGATCTTTCTTTGCTGTCTGAGTTTACGAGGCTGCTGCTTCTTGAAGCGGGTATCCATGAGATGTTTGACAAATTTCCAGTGTGTTCTACGCAGAGGAACTCAATTGAGGGCCAGAGGGCCAGTCACAAGCAGCAAGCCACTGCCTGGCTGCTTCAGGAGAACCACTCTGTTGCCCCAGGGGGGTCCCCCCAGGATGATGCTGGCTCACGGTCTCTTCAGCTTCCTGGGCACGTCTTCTGTAGGGTGATAAATACCTGGGCATTTGGTGCAGCTTAACCACTGGGGTACCACCATGCTTGTTGCCACCAACTGGCTTTGTAACAGTAGGGAGAACCTTCTCGGGACTGCTGGCCATTTCCTCTGACAGGGACGGGTGTCAACTGCACGGGGCTTCCCCTTCTGAAGCTTGTTGCCCGTGCTCACAGCCTTCTTAACGTGGCCACTGGCATCTGCCTTCTTGACTTCACGCTTCTTCTCCTCGTCCCACTTCTTAGCCTTTTCACCCACCATCTTGCTAGATGGGAAAGCGGGCTTTGTGTTCTTGTAAAGAACCGCCTAGATGCGGTCCCGTTGACACCGGCAGCTCGGCAAGTCAGCTGAGAAGCTTGGGGAGCAGTGAGCTTCAGGCAGCAGCGGTAGGACCGTTTGGAGGAGAATGACAGTCTGTACAGTCTGATGTAGTCAGTGTCGCTGAAATGGTTGAAATGATTTCTGATTGCTTATATTTCACCAAAATTACATATATATTTAAGGCAGAGGTTTTGACAGTTGTTCAAATCTAGCGCAGGGCTCCCAGCCTGTTTTCCCTAGATTTTCAAATTGTTTCAGTCATGGCCAAAGAAGCCGAACTGGGACGTGCCATAACTCCACCCCACGGCCAACGGGCCGATCCAGACCCATTGCAGCCCTGGGTAGGGTTTCCAAGGCTGTAGCTTGTTCTAGGAGCAAGCAGCCTCATCTTTTTGTCCTGAGGAGTGGCTGGTGGGTTCAAACCACCGACCTATCAGTTAGCAGTCCAACGCTTACCCCACAGCCCCACCAGGGCTCTCACGGGCAAAGTGACAAGTCCACGCCCTGCTAGAGACCTAATCTCCCTGTTGGGAAACAAGGCAGGGTGTGGACTGCATAGCAAACCAATCTCTTAACCAGCGATCAGACACAGAGGTGTCCCACTAAAAACCGGGTAGCTGCACCACTCTGCATAGGAATCACCTTCACCTCCATGACGGTAATCAGTCTCCTCATCAGTCTCCTGAAAGAGCTCACCGAGCCTCTTCTGAGTCTCCCATTCCAGGGTTTTGCCCCATGAGTCTCCCTGCTGCAATTGTCACTCTGCTTTCGAAACTCCGTGCCTTTCCCTCCAGCGGCCAAGGCTGAGCCAGTGTAAGCCCGCTCAAGCCATGATCTGCCATGTATTTGCCCTGATTTCCCGCCTCTGTGGGTTTGGGGTGGGGTCTAATGAGATGACTTAGGAGGAGGGGCTTCCAAAAAAACCCGTGGGGAAGTCCAGGGTTTGTTTCCGGCTGCCCCAGTAAGATTCCATCTCGGAGACGCCCTGGGGTGCTTCTCTGTGCCTCGCGCACAGTAGCTGTGGGTTGGAATGGATCCCACCGCGGTGGTGAGCGCCATTTCATAGTTCCACAGACCCTTTGAGATCCCTGGGTGGTCGGTGTGTGAAAAACCAGCAGCCCAACACGGCCGTTTCCAAAGTGGAGGGGCACTGGGGTATCCAGTTGTCAATTCCGACTAAGAGCGCCCCTGTGAGGCAGGGCAGAACTGCCCCTGCACGTTTCTGAGGTGGCAACTCTACAGGAGTAGAAAGCTCCTCTTCCTCCTTCGGTGCAGCTGCTGGTTTCGAACTGCTGAGGTGAGCAGCCCAGCACAAAACCCACCCTGCCGCCAGGTCTCCTTGAAAAATCAGATGCCTACACTTTATCCCGCATTATGGGCTATCCAACAAATGCTTTTCCTTGTTGGGAGGTGGGGCTTGAAATCATTAAGTTTTTCTGAAAAGGGGTGGTAGGCTAAATAAGTTTGGGAGCCTGTGATAGAGAGGCTGTATGTCTTGACAGGAGCAGATGGCTCCATCTTTCTCCTGTTGGGTGTGAAAGCATCTAGCAAATCTTAAACCTGACCCCTGCCACTGAGTCAATCCCAACCCAGAGCAAGAATTGCCTGGAGATCTCGGGTTCTGGTTCCGTGTAAGGCAGAGGCTATCCAATGCAGGTGGGCTAACAGGTATTCACTGGTTTGACTCCTGGGACCCGAGGCAGGTGCCGGCTGCCCTGCCTGAACCTGGCCACGCCAAGCTCACTGCAGATGTTGGTGCAGCGTCTTACAGTTCCGTGTCCTTAGCAGTCTACGGGACACTTGAGCATGCTTAAAGCATGTGTCTCCTGCGATCCTCCTCTGCCGCTCCTATTTTTCTGATAAGGACCCTGAGGGTCAGAGAGGTGAGCGGCTGTGTGAAAATGGATACTACCCCGTCCAAGCCCTGAAGGACACCTTGTCTAGACCCCACTCTTGCCGCATGAAGCTAAGATCTCCTTCCCTTTTCTTCATGGTCTCTCGTGAGATCCGCCCAGCTCCACCCCTGCTGGTCTCCGGCCCTACCTGGGCATACTGACACCAGCCTGGCGACTGGGACTTTGAGGATGAGATCAAGAAACCTACAGGGTAGGACTAGGATTTCAAGGGGGTACAGGACCAGCGCTAGTGAGGCCCAGAGTCGGTGGCAGAAGGAATAAAAGGAATCTCCCTGAAACAGGCGAGAAGCTGTGCCCAGGTCATGCGACATCTGTAGACACACATCCTTAAGCCCATCTGTTTTAAGTCTCTGCACACGTTGACTGCTGAATCAAAAGGGGGATTTGTTGTACGTTGTCCAAGTTTGAATCTGTTTCCGTACGTTTCCAACTGAGCCTGTTCTTTGCCCCCAGGCCTGATTTGCTGAGATCTGAAGGTATCCCCACCACGGAGGTGGCTCCCAGTGCATCTCCTGTATCCGGAAGTCCCAAACTGTCCACCTCAAACAGCAAGAGCCGATACCGAAGCAAACCTCGCCACCGCCGGGGCAACAGCAGGGGCAGCCACGGTGACTTTGCAGCCATCTTGAAACCCCAGACAGCCCAGGAAACCTCAGCCCAGCCCCCTGACCCACCCCAGGCCCAGCCCCAGTGCCCTCCTCATGCCCTGCAGCAGCAATACCAGCAGCACCCGCCCGCCACGGCTCAGAACCACCCCCCCAGACTCCCAATGCACGGGCAGGACATCGCCACCTGTGCCAACAACCTGAGGTACTTTGGCCCAGCAGCAGCCCTGCGGAGTCCGCTCAGCAACCACGCCCAGAGACAGATGCCTGGCTCCAGCCCCGACCTCATCTCCACGGCCATGGCGGCAGATTGCTGGAGAAGCTCTGAGCCCAACGAGGGCCAGGCTGTTCCCTGGGACTGCTGTCAGGCCGACCCTTACGACCCCTGCCTCCAGTGCAGGCCGGGACAGCGTGGCTACTTAGATGTGTCCTCTGTGGAGCCAGCAGGGAGGAACCTCGATCTTCCCAAGTCGCCAGCACACCGTCCCCTCTCGGGAAACACCCACGCTTCCGGGAACGTGGAAGGACCCCAGTTCAATGGCTGCAGGTCTGAGTCGTCCCTCGGCATCCCCCAGTACATCACCCCCCCACTGCTACCTCGCAAAGCCAGGCCCCTGCAGAAGGTAAGTGTGGTGACAGCAGAAGTCCGTGGTTTCACTGCCCCCACGGAATGGCAGAGTGTCACCTCGTGGCAAGGATGCAACCAGGTGGGCAACAAAGACGAGTTCTTCAAGAGGGGGAGAAGAGCCCTGGTGTCGTTGAGGCTCCTCGCTGGGTGGCTAACCCACAAGGTCAGCAGTTGGAAACCACCAGCCACTCAGTGGGAGCCAGATGAGGCTTTCTACTCCCATAAACAGCCACAGCCTCAGAAACCCACAGGGGCCCTTCTAGCCCGTCCTACAGCGTGGCTATGAGCCAGACGGACTTGAGAGCCCAGTATTGGTTTGGTTTGAAAAGGGGAGGGGTGGGAAATCAAATTTACCAACAGGCGCGTGACTACTTTCTCACCACACTGCTGCAGTAGTACACTAGGGAGTCCCTTTGGGGAGTACTGAGCCAGGGGGCAGAATCACTTTTGCATAGTTTATGGATAGAGAACAACCACATAGTGGGGACATGTGATCCAAAGCACTGGAACCACTACCCAGGAATGCTCGTCCTGAGGGGCGTCCCAAGGGGAAACACACTGGGAAGCATCCTCTGTCCCTTCTCGGAGATCCTGCTGTGCGTTCGCAAATCACAGGCTTTGTGACAGCACATGGTGGATTTGTTTAATTCATCATTTCCTCCTTTATTTGACCGTAAACCCCACACCTGACCCCCTGCATCGAGTGGATTCCAAATCATCTCGGCCCTCCATTGGGCTTCTGTACAGGAGCCAGGAGCCTCATCTTTCTGCTATGAGAAGGCTGATGGGTTTGAACTGCCCATCTTGCAGGTAGCAGTCCGGCCTTACTCGACCACATCTTAACTCCTTTTAACAATAATATCCATCAAGAATCCGACTCTCTCCCCACCAATGGGACTCACTTGTTTCACAACACAATGTGGAGAGCAAGCACTGCCTTAATAATGGCCTGTCTCCACCGGTTCCCACCCACTGACGCCCGGTTTGGCCTCCTCACCCACCTCTGCCCTAGTGCCTAAGAACATGCCTGGGAGTTCAAAGTCAGGCTCTCCCACTGGCTCCTCGTGTGAGCTTGGGCAATTAACTGAACCTCTTGGAATGGGCTCGATGGTGAGAATTGAGTTCACATGCACGATGGGACTTTGAAAAGTTCCTGGGACAATTCCATCATCTTTCGATTCCGTCTCTCTGCACATGCTTTGGAGCCACCTCGAGTATAAAACACTTAGAACAAGGCCCGGTACGCAGCAAACTGCCCCAAATATGATCTTATCGAAGAGGTGAGACAATAAGGTAACGTGTACAGAGTAAACCCCTGCCGGGGGCTTTCTCTGCACATCGTCATCCATCTGGAGCTGAGTGGAAGGGTCTCAAAGGCAGAGAAGGATGTTTCTGCCAACTAGCTGTTTCATGGGGAAGACGGAGCCGAAGCTGAGGGCTGAATCCCGGAGAGAACTGATTACCCGCCCCCACCCCATCCAACCCCCTGCATGGTGCCGCTCCTGAGGAAGCCTGGCGAGAGACGCCCTGTGTTTGGGGTGGTACAATGACTGTGTTTGGGGGGCTGCTGCCTTCTTTACACTCCCACCCCTGTGAATAGTAAAATTACTCAAAACGCATTGCCCCGGAGTCAACCCTGGCCCATCACAACCCTATGGGTCAGAGTGGAACTGCCCCTGTGGGTCTCTGAAACGGCCACTCTTTATGGGAGTAGAGAGCCCTGTTGTTCTCCCGTGGAATGGCTGGTGGTTTTGAACTGCTGACCTTGCAGTTTGCAGCCCAGCATGTAACCACTTTGTACCCAGGGCTCTTCTATGAATAAAAGTATGTATTTTTTAATATATATATGTCAGCTTTATTGAGGTGTGATTTACATACCATAGAATCCCAACATTTAAAGTATTCAACTCAATGTGGGCTTTTTGTTTGTTCTGAAATATTCATAGAGCTGTGCCACCATTCCCACAATGAACATGAGAATATTCTCACCACCCCCAAAGAAAACCCACACCCCTAAGAGTCATGTCCCCAAACAGCCTGCTTTTGAACTCGCCATCCAAGGTCGAGATGCATTCTGAGGGTCTGTGGCCACCTGGTATACGGGCCTTATTAGAACCACATGCCCTCAGGGCGCCTGCCCCTCTCTTCACGGGAAACCCTCCCACGGACATTGCTAGGCTCCCACGTGTCTCAGTAGTCAGTGTGACCATCCTTGCATTCAAGAATTCAAAAAAGCAGAGCAGAAGACAAAGTTGGTTGTAGGAAGATGGTATTTTAGAATGGATCCTTGAAGACATACATCAGCCTCAGTCTTTAGGAAAATACCAGTTGCTCACGTCACAAGGAATGATCATAATCCACTGTGCCATGACACTGGTTCAGGACAGTCGCTCTTCAGCGCGGCTGTTCTCCCACAGGATCTCTCTCTCAGGGAAGAGCATCTCTGCAGAGGTCCCTTGCCCAGGGTCCAGATACGGCACAAACAGAACACCCCAAACTCACGCCACCCTGAGGAATAGGTAGGACTGCCCCTGTGAGTTTCCAAGATTGTACCTCTTTACAGGAGTAGAAAGCCCTGTGTTTCTCCAGGGGAGCTGGTGGTGATTTTGAACTGCCGACCTTTCGGATCGCAGCCCAACTTGTAAACACCAGGGTTCCAGTTAGCCACGGAGCCCAGCAATCTCACAGCCTTGGACCTTGCCAGCAGAGCTCCTTCGTTCCTGCCAGCACTCTAAGGCAGTACTCACTGATTAAGCACCTGGCTTGTCCACCCACTACCCGTGGCCATGGAGTTGACTCGGGCATACAGGGCTTCTTCTTTACAGAAGCGCAGTGCCACCTCTTTCTCTCACGCTGACCTTTTGGATAGCAGCTGGGCTCTTCACCAGGATGCCACCCTGTATCCATGGCAGAGTGCGTGATGCAGCACAGATAAGACACAGTCTGACAGCGTATCTGTCAATAGCGGAGATGGCCCAGACATCATACCTAATGTTAGTGAAAAGGGATTGGCGCTTGTGTTAGTTCAGAGAGACTAGAGAAACAAATTCATAGACACTCATGTGCATTGGAAAGAGCTTTTTATAAAGAGTAAGTGTACATTAAGAAATAAGAAAACACCTTAGTCCAGACCAAGTCCTTAAGTTTGATATTAGCCCATATGTCCAGTACCAGTCTGTTAATTCCTCTTCAGACTCATGCAACACATGTAATGATGCCAAGTGCAGGAAGATCACAGTGGATCACAGGTGGAAGCATCTCAGCACTGGCTTGGGTCTCCAGGTGGATCCTCCAGCTCCAAGGTTCTGACTGCCATCAGCATAGCTCCATGTGGCTTGTCAACAGGAATGTCTCACAGGGAATGAGAGTCTCCTACCTCCAGCGAGCTAGGTATCTCCTTAGCAGCTCCAAAGGAGGTCATCAAGCTGCAACCCAATTGACAGGCTAAACTCCACCCCTTCACTCTTAAGTCCTAAGTTGACAACAGATTATGTAACTAGCACAGTGCTTAAGAGAGTAACGGTTGAGCTTTAAAGAACGGAACGTAGCCCTGGTGGCATAGTGGTTATGCATTGGGCTATGATCTTCCAGGTCCACAGTTCAAAGCCACCACTCCTCAAGAGAAAGACAGAGATTTCTACTTCTATAAAAAGTTACACTCTTGGGAACTCATAGGATCAGTTCTATCCTGTCCAATAGGGTCCCCGTGAGTCAGCATCAAGAACCGAACGTTTACTTCATGGTTGAGGCTCAAAAGGAGATCCTGGAATCCCTCAGAGACAGTGTTTACAAAAGACCCCCTCCCACTCTTCTCCGATTCCCCCTTCGCCCCACACCTCTGGCCACCTTCACAGAGCCCCAGCTAGGATAAGCCTTTGCGTCTTCCAGCTCTTGACGCAAGCCCTGACATCACGGGCACCCAGGAAGAGCTGGCTACCCAGTGAATGAGGGAGGGAAGAGACGTAGGTGGGAGATGAATGACAGTTAGCAAGCACCTAGTGGATACTTTTAATAATGAAAGCGTGTGAGAGAGAGGGGGACACTAAATGACATTCCTTTTTCTGTGTCCTCAGAGTGGAGACGACTCCTCGGAAGAGGAAGAAGGGGAAGTAGACAGTGAAGTGGAATTTCCACGGAGACAGAGGTAAGACCAGCAAACACAGCACGCAGGGACGCCCGCGTCTGCCCCACCTCCTGCCCCATCACAGGCCACCTTCCGACAGCCTCCTTCTGGGGAGGCTTGAACTCCGCGTGGTTGTGTTTTCCCGTTGCCACATTCTGGCTCCTGGCCGACATTAATAGCCGAGCCAGTCATCGAAATCCATTTCATAGAACCTCCAAGGTGAAGGCTCTAAGCCCAGATTCAAGGTTGCACGGGAGGGCACAGTGAGAGGTGGCCCTGATGATCCCAGTATACCTCCTCATGTGTTTGTCCTGCGGCTGGACTAATTACATCCCCGTTCAATCCAGCCTCAGCCTTCGCTTTCTGCTTAGCCAGGGATAGCAGTGGTGCTATCCCGTAAAGAGTTTCCCGTAAAGAGAGGGGCAGGCGCCTGAGGGCATGTGGTTCTAATAAGGCCTGTATACCAGGTGGCCACAGACCCTCAGAATGCATGCTGGTAGGGTCACAGGGCCACCTACGATCTACAGTAAGAGCTGCCCCTGTGTGACAGCCGGGAAGGTGGCTTTCCTCCCAGGACTTTTCTGCTGGCAGGTGTTCATTTCTTGAGGATGCAGCTCTAAGAATCCCCACCCCCCACCCCAAAGGTTCTGCATGCCTTCCTGCCTTCCCAGACACAGGAAAAAACCCCCGACCTGGGATTCCTGGCCCCTTGGCTGGCTGTTCTCTGCGCGTCCACACTGTGCCCAGAGCTGGCATCTGCTCTCACGCCTGCCCTGCTCCGGCCACACTGGCATCGCCGTCCTCTTGTCTCCCTGAGCATAGTTTTCTCCTGTGCACCGAAAAGGTGTCTTCTTGCTCCCTGAACACATTTTACTGGCATCACAAGCATGTCTCTTCTGGGCTCGTCCCTGTGGCACACCACGAGCTCAGCCCACCCAAAGGCTGTCGCCCTGCCCCTTCTGCTCAGGTGCAAGTCCACTTCCACAGTGGTTCACGCCTTTGCCTTCTGTATTGCAGCATGTTCTCCCCGACCCTCGGGATCACCAGCTGTAAGGAGTTGTGTGGGTTTTGCTCTAACTTCTCTTTCTCCCACCCGTTTCCCCCACCGGGTCTCTCTTTGGCTTTGAAACCCCAGTGGCTTTTCCCTATCCAATCCAGATTTGAATCCCCCTCGGGCAGGAAACACGCACCAGCCAGGGCTGAGATGCCTTCTCCCCAGGGTGGGGGTTGATGGATGAGGGAGGGAAAGGGGCCGCCTCGCCTATCCGTCAGTAAGGCTTTCTGCTTGTCTGTGGTCTTAGGCCCCACCGCTGCATCAGCAGCTGCCAGTCTTACTCGACTTTCAGCTCTGAGAACTTCTCCGTGTCGGACGGGGAGGAGGGAAATACCAGCGACCACTCCAACAGCCCTGACGAGCGAACTGGCCAGCGGGAGGCCCGTCTGGCCGAGAAGCTGGAGGACCTGCTGTCGCAGACCCCGGAGATCCCCATCGAGATATCCTCGCACTCCGACGGGCTCTCGGACAAGGAGTGCGCCGTGAGCCGCGTGAAGACGCAGATGTCGCTGGGGAAGCTGTGTGCGGAGGACCGAGGCTACGAGGTGGGGCTTCCCTCCCACCTCCTCTCAACGCCGTTCCCTGCCTGGGCCTGTACAATAGTCACTGCATATGTCAGACACGGTAACTGCCTCGTGACGTAGGTTAACAGAGCTCCCGGAAAGAAGATCAAAGCAGGCCAGTCACTGTCCTCCAGTCAGTTCTGACTCACAGTGACCCCTAGGACAGGGTAGAACTGCCCCTGAGGGCTTCCAAGACGGTCACTCTTTACGGGAGTGGAGAGAGCCTCATCTTTCTCCCATGGAGCAGCTGGTAGGTTTGAACTACTGACCTGAGAGCCCAGTGTGTAACTCCACCAGCGCAGTTCCTTCTAAATGATTGTCAGGAGCCCTTCATTTCAAGACATTGACTCCAATATTCCCTCCTCCCACCCCCTCACCCCTGTTTTCTCGCCCCCCCCCCATCCCCCAACATTTTCTCCCGACCTAGATCCGGTGTGATGGCTCCCTCTCTGGGCCGCCACTCTCCCCTGGGTTTTGCTAGCACAGCACAGGCGCACACATTTTACACACAGTGCTGCCTTTTGAAAAGGACACTGGGAGATAGCTCACCTTCTGTGCAGACAATTGGAGTTCAATGCCTGATCAATGCCCCTGAACTTGCTATGATGTTGGACATCATAGCTGGAACTTCCCGCCTCAGACATTTTTGGCAGAAAGCTCTGACAATGAACAACAGTGGTTCAGACGGGGGAAACCCCAAGCTAAGTAAGGTTAGCCCAGTGAATACAGACCGGTGGCCTTAAGCATAGATCGCACTCTTGTAAAGAATTCTCTCTCTGAGGGTGAACTGAAAACAGTGGCTCTAAAGCACAGAGGGGAACTTTGAGGGGCAGGAGCCTGAATGAATGACGGTGAAACCACGTGACTGCAGGTCGTGAGACCAGCGGTGAAGGAAGGAACAGATGGTACTGAACGGCCCATGGAGAAAAGGTGAATGGATGGGTGTTTGGTGGTGCACTTGGCTGCCGACAAAAGTGACATATTGGAAATCAATAGCTCAATGACCCACAGTGGCCCGATCCCGTTGGGCCTTCTGAGAGGGAGACTAGCCGAATGTGTGCCAGTGTGCACCCTGGAACGACACCGCCTAGCGAAAGCCCCAGCCCCTTACTTTGTGGCTGTGTGACCGTGGTCTATAAAATGAGGGTGACAGTAGCACCTCCCTGCTATGGTCGTTATCACAAGGGTTCACAAGGTCAGCAGCATGCAGACTCTCACACTTGCAAACACTGTGCAAGTGTCCTCATGGCCTTCGCCTTTCTGTCCTCTTCTCCCTAAGCCCCAGGGGGCCAGCGCTGAGGCTCCCCGCCCTTTGTGCTCCTCCCAGCTCCAGGCCCGCCGGGTGAGAGGACCCAGTGGTGCTCACTGAGCGCCTGTGGACACGCATTATGTGTTCTTTTCTCTTGCCTTTGCAGAACCCTATGCAGTTTGAAGAATCGGACTGTGACTCTTCAGGTGGCGAGTGTTCCGACGCCACCGTGAGGGCCAATAAGCACTACAGCTCCGCCACGTGGTGACCAGAGAACGCTCCCGACTGTCCTGGCATTTCAAGCCCGCCCACCCCCAGACTCCTCCCTCTCTCTCCCTGCCTTTTGTCCGGGAAGAGTGTCCCCGTCTTTACCACCCCTAAAAACGAGCTGCAATAACAGGGACATAAGACTTCACAAACCTCTGGAAAAAGTATATATATATATAGATGTATATCCAAATGAAATTAAGTCTCACTGAACATTTCAATCAAGAATGGCAGGGATCTATTTTATTGAATATTCTAGCTACTGTAACATTGATATTTATTTTTGTTTGATGTTTTAACACTTTGTACTGTAAAGAGTGAACTATATATGACACACAGAGAAAGAGAGAGACACCAAAATTTGTTGGAAGGGAACAAAAGAACGAAAGATGAAAGATGGATGGAATGTAGGAGCCACGTCCTGGACCCTATGGGAACTGTGGGCCCAGGGATGATGCTGCTGCTGCTGCTGCTGCTGCTGCTGCTGCTGCTGCTGCTTGAACAGGGAGCAGGTCTTTGAGCCACACGTGACTGAAGAGCAAGGGCAGGGCAGACGGAGAGCGCTGTGGAGAGACTTGGGAAGAGCCAAAGAAAAAACCGATTCCAGGCAACTTGTGAGCAAATCACATTCCGTTCAGCCAGCTTGTCCAGCTGGGTGATGGGAGTGACCGAGATGCTTGCACAAAAGGTCTCTAAGGTCATGCCCTCTCTTTAAGAGGAAAGCAAACGAAGAAGGAACCCCACGACTGATCATGTGGAAGCTGTGATTTCCGAAAGTGTACCCAGCAATTGGTAGCCAGCCTTGCAGTTAGCGGTAGATCTTGTCCTTGGCAAACACTTCCCTTTTCAATGCTGTCCTTGTGGTGACCTTGACCAAGGTGTGGACTCGTCAGGGTCAAGTGCCCTTTTCTTGTACCTTGCGTCTCCTTTCTACTTACCAACCACTTCCTTGAGGGGAAAGAAAGGCGTGAAGGATCCCAAAAAAGAAAATCCACAACAGTGTTAGCCAAGCCAGTGTGACATCCCTAAAAGAACCTTCTCAGAACGTCTGGCATCCTGCTCTGGAAGCAGCCTGCTGTCTCCCATCGCAAGCGGCACAAGCTGGGGAGGCAGCTGTGGCGTCTGTGAGCCTGCCTCACGGCCACTGGAAAATCAGGGCCCTCGATTGTGTCTGTGAACACACTCTGCCCCGACGAGTGTCGTGAAGTGACCGCCCACCACTGTCAGCATAGGGGCGACAAGAGCAACTTGCAGAAAGCCACCTCTCTGCCACGGCAATCACGTTGCGGTAAAATCCTCCTCTTCGGATGTGTGTGACTTCCTCTGGGTCCCTAGGATCCGTCGTGCAGTGTTCCGCAGCAGTTGGCTTTGGAAATCAGCGCAGAGGAACTGATGCCGATGAGGGAGATTTTAGTGGTTGGAGGGCCTTCCTGCCTCCATGGCCCCTCACTGGCCCTGCAGAGCCCCCAGCGGCCCTGCGGGCTCCCTGGGCTTCGATAGGAGCATTGTACCTAGCCTTTGTGTACACGCAGGTGTTGGCCTATTGCTAGTCTCAGTTTACCAGGTGGGTTAATGTGAAACAACCTTTCTAGGCTCAGGACTTGCACCAGAGGCGAGACGCGTGCATATCCCGTATGTGTCTGGCATTCAGAAAGATCCGAGCGCACAGGCATCGAACCCTTTCCAATGCAGATGAAAATGCCACCCCTCCGCTGGTTTCATGGATTGCATCCGCCAAAAAAGGAAGCAGACGGAGGGGGGTGGCGTTCCCGCCGTTGCTTCCGTTGCGTGTCCGAGCCCTCCATTTGTTTACACTTTATGTTGAGATGTGAGTTTTATCATGTCGTGTCTTTAATTTATAGCTCTTAGCGAGGATGAAGGAAAACGTTTAATTTATTCAGAGTGCAGTATTGTTTGCATTAAGTTATTCCATTTTGTATAAATTCTGTAGCTGGACTACATGAGCGATCTTAAGTTATGGCATTGCACTCATCACCGCTATTTTATTTTGTAATAATTATTGTCATTCTCATTTTCTGTGGGTCAGAAGGTGTGGTTGACGGTATCGCACAATGATTGTGTTTCTTGCCAACGATGAATGATGTGATTTTGGGGGAAGGGATGGACGCAGCACTGCTGTTGGGGGGGCTCTCTCTCCGCCCCGCAGTCCCTGCTTCTCTGTGCACCAGCACAATCACGGGGGTGTGCTTGGCCCTGGGCCTAGGCATGCGCACATCGTGACTGACTTGATCAGGAAGGTCTCTGGGTGGGAGGTGGCAGCGTGAATGGACAAACAGTTCAATTGCTGTAAACTTTCTCAAGTTTCTTAAGAAATAAAATCATGGGACTCTATTAGAAGCAACGAGAATTATTTCATGCCCCGAAGGGCTGAGACCTACGGGTTTTTTTTCCTGGGACACGTGGGTTGGTTAGTTTCAAGAAGTGGCTGCATAGTTTATCATCTCTCTCCAGGCCCCACAAAACTGGCCGTGTTTGCCCCTCTTCTGGTACAGGAAGGCAACTAGATAAGAAGAGACACCCAGAGGGCCCCACAGAACATGCCGAGCTGCGATGCCATTGTCTCAACTCAAGTTCTAGAATGAAACCCTGCCCTTAGCAGGCGTGTCGCGCTGGAGAGTGCGTGGAAGGCCCCGTGTTCTAACCCCCATCTTCAGACCTCATGGTCCTGTGGCTCCCTCTGGACCAGTGCTCCTAGAGAGGAAGACGCTACTACCACTGGGTCCTCGTGTCCTCTTTCTGTCCAACATGAAACATTGACCCGAGGCAGCTCACACATCTTCAGTGGTGGCCGAAACATGAGGCCCCGAATACATGACACCTCATCGTTTGATCCGATTTCTCCATTCCCATCTTGGCCAGCTATCATGATAATGCCTCCCACTGTATCTGGATTAATGGTCATTAGGATGTTAGGGTGGTCGATAGTGTTGTCTTCACTCACTGTACATCGAGTTGAATAAAATCCCATATTGAATGGGTTTCTTTTGTGTAGGGGGGGGGGCAAGGGGGGGGACATGAGGGCATTTACAAAGGGAAAGACCTCCTTTATCCCAACCTTCACTGCCTGCCTGGGAGTGACCAGGGAAAACATGAGTTGACATGTGTTTGAGAACAATCCCACAGGCCTCTGAGAAGTGTTGACTCGGGAGCCCAGGGAATTTAACAGCTAATCCTTCAGTTCCAACAACTGAACACCCGTGCATCACGGGATTTCATGCTTCCCCGGAGGCTGAACGTTGGACCCCTTGGGATAAGTGTCCACATTCACTTAGCCTCTGTTTTTGGCTGACTGCAAGATGATGATTTTTAATTTGTGTTGTAGATGAGTATTTGGTTCCAATTTCCATCTATTTCTAGATCACAGCCTCTGAACAGCAATTCCCCATGAGATTGCCAGCCCAGGGGCTGAGAAGCCTGCATCCACTTTGTAATGCTGATAGACTTCAACCCTCCCCACTGCTGGCACTCACTAGGGCCAGATGGGGAAGCACGCAGGCGCTGACCAGGCGCTGACCTCGGGGCTCCTTACAAGGACATTGTCAGGAGGGGTTAAATCAGTAGGAGACATTCACTTTAGGGTCTCCTTGCACTCAACTTCCCCTGTTTCTCTTGGTGGGTTACAAGTTGAGCTGCTGATCCCCAGTCGGTAGTTTGAAACCACCATCCATGGGAGAAGGATGAACTTGCTCCCGAAAAGATTTGCAATCTCAAATGCACCGGGGCAGCTCTACCCTGTCCTGCAGGGGCACTCTGAGTCGGAATAGATTCAATGGCAGTGAGTTGGTTTGGGTTTTTGACCCTTACACCGATTGGGTAACTGGGTTTACCTAGAACCAACCTCTCCCTCTCTCTCACACAGTGAACACTGACATCCTTTCTGAGGGACTGCCTCCTTACTAAGTAAATGATGTACTCTCCTCTTTTCCCCAGGCCCGCACTTCTCTAACATCTTCTGTCTTAAACCTTTCCTACCTGACCTTCCTGGAACTACATTCTGCAGACTAGGACATCATCTTTGAATTCCAAGGAATTCTTGCCCTGCAGCATGGGATGCTAGATTCTGCTTGCTTTTTTTGCACACAAAAAACTGGCCATGTACTGCCATCTCCCAGCTGCACCCCAAATACCCCAAACTGGCCTTACTTATCAATCACTTGACTCCTTCCTTTGGGCTCTGGATGCTGCCTCGAAATCCCTCACAGCACACCGGAGCAGCCAGTCCCACTTGACTGGAATGGGTGTGCCGTGGGAAAGTGTGGACCAACTCAGCTCTAGGCTCTGAACTAACTGCCGGGGCTAAAGGGAGGACGAAGGGGTCGGGTGGCGCAGTAGGCATAGCAGTGAGCTGCTCACCACAAAATCAGCGAGTTCAAACCCATCAGCCGCTCTCCTGGAAAAAGATGAGGCTGTCTGCTCCTATAAAGACTTACGATCTTGGACACCTTTGGGACTATTTCTGCTCTGTCTTGCAAGGTGGCTATGAGTCAGAATCAACTCAATAGCGGTGTGGGTGGTGGGAACAGGAGGATGACAGGGGCTCACCAGTCCCAGCTCACTTAAGAATCCTTCCTGGACTGGCATTGTCAGAGGAAAGGCCACTTCCCTCCACGCACTGCCCTTTGGGAGTGGAGGTTGCCAATTCCAGTCGACAAATCACCCATCGCTGATGGGTCGTGATCCAGAATGTCTTTACCTCCCCATCGTGTTGTGTTGAATGCACATGTTCCTCCTCACTTACGTCCAGGTGTAAGTCCCCAACTCTGAGAGACTCGTGTCCCGAAGCACTGTGACACTCTTTTCAAGACACTGGCTTGTCCCATCCGTGTGAATTCGGTGCCTTTCCAGGCCGGTATGAGTCTGCTTCTTTGCTGCTCTTACTCCTTGCCCGAGTGACACTCACACCATCAATGTCAACCACCTCACAGCCCGGCACCAAAGAACCACATCAGGCTGGAATGTTACAGGCTGCCAAGTGGAGACCCTCATGTTACCGCTCCAGGGCAGGTGGCAGAAGAGGGCGCTCTGCAATCACCACGCTACAATCGGGGTTGGCTGCTCTGTGCGCAGGGCGTGGCCCCATGCTGTTAGCCAGGGTCCTAAACAACGACGCAACGACGCTCCCTACAGCACCCCAGAGCACGCGGGGACACTGGCTCCTGGCCCCAGGCCATGGTTGTCCACAGACCAGGACAGGGTCCTCCAATGGATCAGGGTGGAGGGCATCCCCGGCAGCATGTGTGAGCTATTAGAAGACATCCCTCATGGACCCTGTCAGCTGGAACACCCCCCACCACCACCACCTCAGAGTGACCACTTCCCAGACGCTGGAGGGGGAAGACCCACTTTGACTCCTTACCGCAATGGCTGGAGTTCATCAGCTGGGACAAACACTTCTTTTTCACGCTTAAATTCAAACATGAACGCCCCGCCTGTCTCCCCTGCGGTCTGATCCTGCCAGTGCGCCCGCTCCCCAGGTGGTTTTCCGATGCGGTTTGCACTGAATGAAACTGCGGCAATGGGAACAAGAGTGCAGGCTCGGGAATTAAAGTGCTCTTCACTGTGTTTGAGGGGAAGGAGATTTCGCCGGCTCGGAGTCCTATAGCCAGGGAAGTCAGGTGGTGATAGGCACGCTGGTGTCCCGGGCTCTTTTGCTTTAGACCCAAACAGCAAAGGAAGAGACAATTAATTGATCGATTGATCGATCAGCAGTCTCTCATTACAGCCTCGCCTTGGGTGGTTGCCTCCAGCGCGTTCCTGCTGCCCTGCTGGGGGCTGTTCCTCCATGGTAGCGGCTCCCACTGTAACAGGAACTTGGAAAAAAGACCAGCGTGCAAACCTAGCTTCCAGTGTCATGCTGATAGGAAGCAGACTGAGGGTGGAGAGTTCAAACACCACTGAGCTCGTCAGAGTTTCAACCAACCATGATTGCCGCCGTAGGGGAGGTAAACAGTTGCAACAAACCAGCACCACACAGAACACCTGTAGCCATTTATTGGGAAATTGGCTTCCTGTAAACTCACAACTGAAAAAGGCACATTGTTGGGAAATGGAGGCAGGACTCTCTGAGGACCCCGAGAGAGGGCACAGGACACACCAAACTCCTGTGTCCCTCCCTTCCCCTCCCCAGAGCAGGGCCACGACTTCCAAGTCCAATCTGTCCTTATCCCATGCCCACACAAAACATTTTTAAAATGAACTCTTTGGTGTGGAAGGGTTATACCAGGTCCATAAAACACCACGTGGGAATCCGGACTTCCTACTGAACAGGGGTAATCCCAAGAACTCATATGGAACAAGAGAACCAATGAAAGCTCTTGACAAGAGTCTTGGCTGAGCCAAGGGCAAAACCCAGTAGAGGATGCCAAGGGGCCGCAGTCTGTCAGGCGATGCTGAGCAACTCGTGCAGGCTGCAGGTCACAGAGCTCCCTCTGTCCCCGGACCCATTAGCCCAGAGCTGTGCCAACTCGGTCCTCCAGCCACAGAAGCAACGAGGGCTACAGACCCTTGAAAACCAACGCGTACTCCCAAAGCCAGAACCCAGAGGTTTCTTCTGGAATTAAGAGATGCGTTATTTCTACAGTTCTCTTGGCTAAGGACAAAACGAAAAACATTTAGAGTACGGTGGCTTGATATCCCAGTGTGCTGACTGCATCCTAGCAGAAGGTTCAATGGCGCTCACACAGAAAGGGCAGATGAGATGATGGTCATTTGACTTAGCTAGTCGAGGGCCATCACCCACCGGGACGGGGAAGGCTAGCTCCCTGGCGGAGTTCACTCCATTCCAACGTGATGGTCTATGAGCCATCAGCCTGCGTGTCAAGATCGGCAACCAGGAGGAGGTTTGCTATGCGTGGTGCCATCTGTGAGGACCCACGGCACGCCAGCAAGCACGGGGCCTCTGAGCTGCCTGCACAGAGTCTTGTGCATTTTGTCAGTTTGTTTCTCTGGACTTATGGAAGAGGTAGATCATCAACACAAAATGACATGAAGAACACTCTTCAATAGACAAACAGAACTGATGTGGGTGCACGGGGTCGTCTATCCGCATCATGCCAGGGAGGGTCTAACGGGAGGTCCTTGTCACAACAGCCTCGCCTTGCCAGGGGACCCTCCCAACCCAGTCACCCAGTCAGTTCTGACGCAAAGCCACCCTCTCTAACAGAGCAGACCTGCCCCCTTTGTTTCTGAGGCTGTACATCTTAACGGGAGCACAGTGCCTCATCTTCCTCCAGTGTTGGGGCTTGAACTGCCAACCTGGTGGTAAGCAGCCCAACGCCTCGCCCGCTGCACCACCAGGGTGCCCAGAGAAGGGCCATCTGCTTGCTCTCTGCGGCAGCTCGAGGGTTGGCATGAGGCAAATACAACAGACTCTCCTGAGTCCCTTGCTAGTTAGCTATCCACAGACAGCATTTTCTAGGATGCCATCCATTTCCCAGAACTCCCTGCCAGAGCAGGGCTAGGTTGAGAACAAACCTGATATAATTCACCTTCTGCAAAACAGTCTTTTATAACAAGGCCTTGCCCACGGATGAACAGTGTCCAAATCATCAGTTTCCGGTCATTTAAAAACAAGGAGGGGCTTTAGAGGACCACACCCATGCCTCTAATGTCCAGTCCACGGATGTGGGGGCCAGAAAACCCAGATCACGTGTCTTTTCTATTTAGATGATTAACGGTGTTTGCTTCTCTCACACGCAGGTGTTTCTGGCTGAATTTTTTTAATGAGGGTGCCCGGAACTAAGACCACCAGGGCAATGGCCAGCAGCTTCAGGATGGTTTCCCAGGAGAACAGAGCATCCAGAGAGGTGACTGTTGACAGGATGGAGCCCGTCTGCACGCAGATGAAGTTGTATGGGATCAAGCCTGGAAGGGGAAAGATCCTGTTACTCGGAGCAGAAACACTTAGAAAAAGAACCTTGCCAAGCAACATCAGAAATTCAGACAGACTCCAGTTTTGTTTTGTTTTTAAATCATGTTATTGGGGGCTGGTTCAACTCTTATCACAATCCATCCATCCATCCACTGTGTCAAGCACATTTGTACATTTGTTGCCATCATCATTCTCAAAACATTTTCTGTCTACTTGAGCCCTTGCTACCAGCTTCTCATTTTTCCGCTCCCTCCCCCACACCTCCCTCCCTCAGGAACCCTTGATAATTTATAAATTATGTTTTCATGTCTCACACTGACCGATGTCTCTCTTCACCCACTTTTTCTGTTGTCCGTCCCACTAGGAGGGGTTATAGGTAGATCATTGTGATAGGTTCCCCCTGCCTCCCCCCCCTTCCTCTTACCCTCCTGGTATGGCTACTCATTCAATATTGGTCCTGAGAGGGTTATCTGTCCTAGATTCCCTGTGTTTCCAGCTCTTATCAGTACCTTGTACATGCTCTGGTCTAGCCAGATTTGTCAGGTAGAATTGGGGTCATGATGGGGGGTGGGGAGGGAAGCATTAGAGGAAAGCAGTATGTTTCATCAGTGCTATGCTGCAGCCTGACTGGCTCGTCTCCTCCCCATGACCCTTCTGTAAGGGGATGTCCAATTGCCTACAGATGGACTTTGGGTCTCCAAATTTCTTGGCATAGATGAGAAATGCTTGTTTCCCATGAATTCCTGAAGCCTTGGGCACAGCTTGAACTTCTTCTTTCAATACCATCCATTCTTGATCAAAGGCTACATCCCGAAATGGCTGAATGTCGACCGGTCCTTTTGTGCAGGGACACTGTGTGTCCCTTCCATCTTTTCTTTGGATGGTGCTTGCATCATTCAATATTTTGTCCACAGTATCCTTCAGTATTGCAACTCGAGGCTTGATTATTTTCTTCAACTCTTTCAGTGTAAGAAATGCCGAAGAAGGTTCTCCCCTTTGCTTTTCTAACTCCAGGTCTCTGCCCATTTCATCTAATACCTTACTTGGTCTCCGCGAGCTGCCCTTAGAAACCCTTCCTTTAGCTCTCTCTCTTCCTCGTTTCTTCTGTCCACTGCAGCTTCTCCGGGTCCGAGAGCAAGTTTCAGGGTCTCTTTTGACATCCACTTTGGCCTTCTCCTCTCCTGACCTTCTGCGCTGTCACGGACGGTGTTCTTGGCGCCATCGCACAGCTCCCCGGTGTGCGAAGTGCCCGATCGATCCTGGAGAGCCTCTGAGTGCAGGTGGGGTATATGTAAGGCTGTTCTTTGGCTTTCGTGGGCTTGTTTTCATTTTCTTCAGCTTCAGCTCTTTCGAAATACTACTTCTCATGGTCTTCACTGTCCCTGCCTTCTCTACACGGTGATGGGACCCACTGGGATCCCAAAGGACCCCATCATCTGAAATAAAGTCTTGCACTGCACGCCTAAGTTTCTGGTTAACTAGAACCTCTGCTTTAAAAGTGTCCCCACCCCAGTGATTCTGATGGATTTTGGAGCTCCTGATAATCCAGGCCATTTCTACAGGTGACGAACCACAAGCTCACAAACCAGTCTAGGTCACAGCTTGTCGGACTGGGGCAGGGGGTGTTGGGGTCTTCCTAAATCCAGAGCTACTTAGCTCAGCTACCGGCTGACGTGACCTGAGCTGCTGAGCCTTCCTGTCTGAAAGGACATCTGACCAGTGTGATCGGTGGTGGACCTTGCTTCAATATCTGTTTCTCCCAGGCCTTCCCTACTAGTAGCAGCTGCTCAGCCAGATTGGTTATTTTTCACCTGGAAGCCCTGAGTTCTCCTTCCCGCCATGATCTATGGAAGGTTTACTTCAGGCTCATAAACTATACTACTTATAGGTTGAAAAAAAATACTGATGCCACAAGAGATTAACATTGAGACTTTAGGAATTCACTCGTCCAGCAGATTGCAAACCTCAGGTAGAGCTCCTGCTGGGGTCTTACTCCCCGTGGACATTGGGGCCTCCTGGGAAATCTTAAAAACTGTTGGTCCCAGCACCCCAGCCCGAGATTATGACTTAATTGTTGTGTGCAGTGGCCTTAATGCAGGGACTTTTAATAGCTCCCCAACCGATTAGCAAAGTTTAGATTAGAACCGCTGACTAGGGAATGAATTACAAAGCATATTCCTGAGGCCTGTCCCTAAGATTCTGATTTGCTATCTCTGGGGAGAGGCGCGGATAAGACTCCATTCTCCACTCTTAAGCAGCCCCTTGACTTTACCATTCGGCTCAAAACGGTCCACAGTCTGCACTTCGGGAAGCACTGCTCCTGTTCAGCCCCTCTTGGGCCGAGCAGCCCATTGTGAGGCGGGGCCTCTGCATGTGCTGCTGTGGATGACTGGCTCCAGCGTTTGCAGCCGCGGTCTTCGTAACCTCCCACTAGTGACTGGGTAGGACTGTGCTCAGGGGTGTGTGGAACTTTAACCTGGGAGTGGTCACTCTGCCACCAGGCTGGGTTTAAAATAAGCCCTTGCAGAAGCAGGAAGGAAGAGCCAGGGTAGGGGAGCACGTCCTTTGGACCATGAGATCCTTGCCCACTGGACCTCCTGGGTCCAGGAGACAGAGCTGGGGTGACAGAGGCTGAGAGATGTGGCAGACAGGCGGTGGCAGCATAGCAGCCACACCAACAGCATGAGGCAGAGTAGTGGGCTTCACAGCAAAGAGCGTGCCAAGTTGAGCACCTATGGGCAGGCGGCTGGCTTGCAGAATGGGGTCCTTATCCGGGGGAGCTACATTCACTGATCCACAGAGCTACAGCTGAGCACTTCACGCTGAGGCTGATGGTGGAGTGGGGTGCCTACCCTTTGGACATCTCTTGGCAGCACTTGAGGGACTGTCTAATGCCTTTCCAAATTGGGCGGGAAACCAAGGGGCCGTGGCTGAGAGGCCAAGGAACCGAGCCAAGTGTGCTCACGGGCATGTCTGGGAAGAGGCTCCGCACCCCACTGCACCCTGCTAACTTTCCATCAGCCCCGTCATCGTCACTGTGAGCATTGTCGGTGGTTCTGTGTGGCCCTTACAGTGACTTTCCAAGCCCAGCAGAGTAGCCGAGAGGCCTCAGGAGGAACGGGGGTCAGGAAGAAAAGGTTAGAGTGGACACCTGTCTGACATCAGCCTTGAGCTGAAGTTAACTCTTAACCCCTCCCACCCCCCACCCAATGAGGTCAGTGGTCAGACGTGGCCCGCACACCACTCTTAAAAGGAAAGTCAGAGAAAGGTTAAAAGGTGAGCGGGAACGCTATGCTCCGCCTCAGGCAGATCGGAACATGGGGTCACAGGCAGACAGGAAGGCCCCTGCCCACACAGCCTCGACCAGCCCCACTGCTCCTGCCCAGGCGGATGCCACACTGCCTTCTCCCCGCCAGTCCCAGGTAGCCGGTAGCTCTCAATGCATTTCATTTGTAGGAGGAAAAATGCTCTTCTCTCCCAGTTTCTTGTGCTGCAGCTTGAGTGGGTTGAAAAGCAGGCACCTGTACTTTGCACCCTGGGGAGCTGGTGCTCTCACAAGCAGCGGACAACTCCCCCAGCCCCGCCCTCCGCCCTGGAGACCCCGCCCCCGACCAGCAGCTTACCAATGAGCACGGAGAAGAAGAACTGCACGATGGGAATGTTGAGGATCGGGGCTGAGAGGTTCAGGAACCAGTTTGGTGTCATGGGGAAAAGTCTCAAAAACAGGAGGAAAAAAAACAGGCTGTTTCTGTTCTCTTCCACCTGCAGCAAACAAGGCCCAGGTCGTTAGGGGAGCAACCGTGCCTAGGTTTGTGCCCGCGCCACCAGGTGCTGTCAAACGCTGCAGACTCTGGTCCCTATTCTTCTAGCAACCCGCCCGAGTTGAGGCCCCACTTGAAAACCGAAGGGGCAGAGGCTCAGAGTCAGAGCGGGAGCTTGGGTCTGTGCCATCTGCAGCATCTAAAGAGCCCCTAGGTCACTGGACCACAAGCCCCGTCCAGACTGCCTCGGGGAGAGCCCTGGGCCTGTGGGCATGTGGTGGACGCTCCCCCACCTCCCAGCTCACCCAAGCTGGCTCCTCAAGCCCCCTGGGGACTTGTAGCTTCATTTGCTGCCACTGTGTTCATGTGACAGTCTCCTTTGACCTCCGTGTGCATTGAGAGCTCCGTCTCCCAGCAAACTCTTGGACACCAGGATGACCTCGTCAACAATGGTCACCCTCATCCGGATGATAGTCCCTAGAGTTGTCTTATCCTTGTCCCATTATACACTTCCTCAATGTTCGCTAATGTTCCATATATATATGTAAATACACACAGAATTAAATGTAAGTGTGTATGTTTATATATATAAAAAAGAACCCCTAAGCCCCAGGGTCTCGCCCAGCAAGAGACATCCGGAGGAGAGCACTCGCTGTGGGAAACCCCGCTCCTCACTCCCCTCAGGGCCTACGGGCCCAGCATGTCATGTGCCCTTCCCTTACCTTTCTCTGCAGCAGGGCCACTTTCTCGGGGAAGTAGGAGACCACCAGTTGTTTGCCAAAAGCACTGGAGAGCAGATAGCAGCATGTGGCCCCCACTGAGGTCAGCACGCAGCACAGCAGAAGGCCCAGCCATGGCCCGAACAGGGCCCCAGCTAACACGTTCTGTGAAGAGCAACGGGTTAGCCATGAGCACATGGGGCAGTGCCGCCCGAGCACCAGTGTCCCGGTCCAACCGTGAGAACGACAGTCCTGGCCTGGGACTCCAGCTCTAAGGTCGGGGTAAGGGTTCGCACCTCCGTGGGTAAGAAAGCACTGGCCCCACTTTACAGGGGAGAGATTTCGGTGCCTTGCAGGAGATAACCCAAGGCAGAGGCCAGATTCCCCCTGAGCTGGGTGGGCAGCCCCCAGGAGGGGCAGGATCAGCTCAAAAGTGAAGACAGGGCACAGGTAGCCCCAAGCATCGGTCCTCAGCCTCCAGACCTGCCCTACTGCCCTGTCTCTCTTGGCATAGACACTGGGTGTATTTTTCCTGTTTCCAACAGAGAGACTGAATTCGTGGATCCAGCCTGATCCCAGAATTCAGATAAACGGTGGGGCAGGGAGGGAGCAAGAGAGAGGGGGCCTTTCAGGTCCTCTGGCCATTTCGCTCCCTCCCCACTGTGTGCCAGCCCCTTTACCACGCAGGGCCTCTGCACCCACCATTTCTGTCAGTCCACTCACGCCACCATCGCGGGGGTCTGTCCGATCAAGGAGCCTCTCCATTTCTCAGATGACTAAACAGGGCTGGAGAAGCTACAAGGATTGACAATGGCCACCCAGCTGGGGTTCAAACTAACTACTCAAAACTCCAAAGCCACACTCCCTGCCATCGCGTCAGTCCGCCTCACCGCGACCCTGCAGGACAGGGCAGATCTGCCCTGTGGGTTTCTGAGACAGTCACGCTTTAACCGGATGGCCTTCCAGTGAGCAGCCCAACACCTGCCCATGCCATCTGAGGCGCCGCTCAAAATGCCCCGGAGAGGGAAGAGCACGTCCCTTCTTGACCCTAAAGGACAACGTACCCGGCGTGCCTGGGAAACCGGGCCCTTGTCCAAGCTGTGCTGGGAGACATCCCAGCCTCTTCAGCTCAGCATCACCGGGAGCCCTCCAGCGCGTCCCTGGGCCGGGCCCAGGAACGCAAAAGCAGAGGCTAAGGAACAGGCCCGCCCGCCCTCCAGGAATTCGCAGACTAGTGAAGCAAACAGTGTCTCACAAAGAACAGCAACTTTAAAACAGTGCCAAACCAACCTGAAGAGCTACCAATACCAAACCAGATTGTTTTTAAAAATGTGAGATATTTATAAAATAGAGTCTTGGTCAGCCATAAAAAGATATGATGTTCTGATACATACAACATGCGTGATCCAAGGAACATATGCTGGGGACAATAGAAGTATCATATGATCCTACTGACATGAGAGGCTGCTGTGTAGAGTTGCTTGATTCATGGTCACCAGGAGCAGGAGGGGGTGGTGGGGGTCATTCCTCAAGGGGACATCGAATTTCTTGAAACAGCCGGGAGCTCATGAGCTAAGGACAGCAGAGGTGGCTGCACCGCATGATGAATGTGATCAATGTCCCTGACTCACACGTGTGAAAAGTGCTGAACTGGCAAGTGTTGGTTACATATATTTTTAGTATCAGATCAATATATTGCCAACAGCAGAACATTATGAGAATTCTAAGAACAAATGTATCCAGCCCAGAGCGTGTGTGTGAAATGCCACTTTCCAAAGCCATCAATGCCTTAGAAACTAAAGCCCCATAACTAAAAGTAAAGACAGACCCAGCCCTGCCACCTGTTTACCACGTCACCTCAAGGCAGTCACCTGTAGAAGCATGCCCATAGTAGTCTTATAAGGAAGATTAAACACACCCACTCCTGGGTGTATTTAGCAGCCTGGCTACCTCCCAAATCCAGTGGTTCTGGGAAGGATGGCGTCACATTAAAATGGATGGCCACATCACCTCCCCCTCACCTGTGCTGTGAAGATCCTGCTGAGCCGCTGCCGAGGGCACCCGGCTTCTGCCACCTTCCCCTTCCCACAATGCCCCAGGGGAGCCTGGCCTTGACCACTGCCCACAGGGCGGGCCACCAGTCTTCCAGGACCAGAGTGGTCCAAGTGCCGTTCCCTTCCCATTCTGGGGCCCAACCTCTTGGGCCCTCACCATATTGTCAGGATGGGTAGCCCAACTCAACCATCCAACAACCCCAACACACCCCTGGAGGCTTTGTCAGGGGCAGGAGGCTCCCACTCTATAGCCTGGAGAGAATGGGTGCTGCAGCCCACCGCTGATCCCCCCCACACACACACAGTCGCGCACTGGGGTTCCTCCAGCTCTCACTGGGCAGCCTGCTCCTCCCACCTCCATGTTCCCATGAGAAATGAGAATCAGAGCTTCCTCAAAGGCTGTGACAGCCAGGCCTGGCCTGCCCTTCACCTTAAACTGCAGCTGCTGCTAGCCACTCACCTGCCCAGGTAGTCTTCCCCACCCCTTAGCTATGTCCACTCAAGAGGGGGCATCAAGGAAGCATATAGGACTGCACAGGTGCCAGTCAGCTGATGTGGGGTCCCACAGGCCCTGGGACCTACGCCCCCTCCCCAGGGGTCCTTCTTACCATAGCCTGTCCCTGCTGCCTTTCATGACTGGAAGCTGGCGATTCCATTTCCTCCTGACCTCCGTCTTCTGGGGGCACCCAGGACCCATGGGCAGCATCCCATCTCCACCAGGCTCACTCCAGCCCCCTTTCCTCTGCCTCGGACCCTGGTGGCCCCATGGAGACGAGGCCCTCCGGCCACTCCAGGCAGGGGACAACATGCAAGACTGGCTTCCTTCCTAGGCCCACTGGGCAGGCAGCTCAGCGTTTGGTACTGCCAGACATGTGTCAATACTTGGACAGATTCCTCACTACTGCTATCAGCAGACAGGTCACTAGGAAAGCTCGGTCTCTGGAAAGGACAGCGTGCCTGGTAAAGCAGCACATCAGGGCAAAAGGCCAAGACCTGCGTTGAGATGAATTGACAAGGTGGCTGCAACAGTGGGCACCAGCTCAATTGTCAGGGTGGTGCAGAGCCAGGCAGTGTTCCCTTCTGCTGTGCACAGGGCCCCTATGAGTCGAGACAGACTTGGCAGCGCCTAGTAACAACATAGAAGGCCTGGTGGCATTGTGGTTATGCATTGGGCTGCTAACCGTTAAGGTTAGCAGTTTGAAACCGCCAGTTGCTCCACGGGAGAAAGACGAGGCTTTTGAATCCCATAAAGGGTTCCCGTCTCAGAAACCCACAGGGGAAGTTCTACCCTGTCCCGTAGGGTGGCTATGCGTCCGAGTGGACTGGATGGCAGTGCCTTTGGCTGTTTCCACAACAGAACTGCAAAACGTCAGATAACAAGGGTCATTATCTGAGAGAGGCCTAAGGTCATGCAGGTCGAGCAACTAAACCAGTGACACAGGGGAACGGCCAACAAACAGAAACTACAGCCGTCTGTCCTTGGATCTGTAAGATCTGCAGCGTCTGGGCCCCTCTACAAAGACAGAAAGGGTGGTGGCAGGCATGGAAAGCACTCTGGGCACTGACCAGGAAGCTGGAGCCAGGGATGGCAAAGCCTTGTTTGTAGAGGTAGGTGCTGCAGAAGAGCAGGAACACGTAGGCCTGGTGCTCCTTCCCGTACTCTCGAAGGACCTCGGAGAGCTCCCGCAGCTCGGCCAGGTCTGAAGGGAACCACAGTGACCTGGGGGGTTGGTGAAGCAGATGGGAACGTGAGTTCATATCAGCCTGACTGTTACCTTTTCCCACAATTTGTCTAGCAACTTGCCGATGCGCTGACCTGCTGCGAATACAACATGAGCCCAAGATGTTGGGTGGCAGAGACAACAGACAGAAGGGCCCTGGTTTTGCCTGTGTGACCCAAGGGCTGGAAATAAAACCAAATCCAAAAACGAGAATGGTGTCAGAGCTTAAATTCAAACATCCCATTTGCAAAAGGCTCTGGATGATGGCAGAAGCCCCAAATCCATTTGCTGGGTCCCAACGTGGATTAAGTCCCCATCTGAACAACCCTGCTATCAGACAGAGAGCATTGTAATGTCAAAGTTAGGTTAAAATGTATTACTCTACCATTTGACCTCGCCTTTTAATACACTTTAAAGTTGTTTCATGACTTCTGCTTTCTCTTGGGGTGCAATTTTTCTGTATCTGTCTAGTCCAAGTTTTTTGGGTTTGTCTGTTTGTTTGTATGACTTTCTATATAAGAAATCCAGGATAGGCTGATCTGTAGAGACAAGAACTGGACAGGGACCTGACAGAGGACAGTGGAAGGAATGGGGAGCAAACCACAATGAGTATGAGAAGAAAATGTTCTGAAGTTGATTGCACAAGTATTTTTAATAGGATTGAATGATTCAATTGTGTCACATGTAAAATGTTACTGCCAGACATGTAACGTACTGATAGATAACACAACAGAGCAAGGGGAGCAAAGCGACGAAGTCCCCGAGGAATCCCAAAAAGAGACCTCTGACTTGGGGGGCCCGGGCTTGGCACCTCATCAGACCCAATTGGAAAACATTCATAAGGGCCATCAGACAGACCTGGAACTATTTATAGGCTTTTTTTTTCTTTCCATATCTATCTATATAAGATAGGCAGGATTGTTTACAATCCCGAGGAGAAAACAACAGAACCAATGGTTCCAGGTGGCCATGGGAGAGGAGGAAGTGGGGGAAAGGAAAGGGGGAGCCAACAAACCCAGGGACAAGGGAACAACAAGAGAGCTAAAACTGATGGCGAGGAGGGCACAGAATGCCTGGTGGGGTTTGATCAAGTGCAATGTAGCCAAAAGGAATTACTGAGCCAAATGAAAGTTGAACATGATAGTGAGATAGGAGAAAAGTAAAAGGAGCTAGAGGAAAGAATTAGGAGGCAAAAGACATTTATAGAGGTATGAATATAGGCATGTATATAGGTAAATACTCTCTGGGCTTCTTTCCACGTTGAAAACACAGTCTGCTTCCACATTTCCTATCTGAGCTGAAACCTTGGAGCCAGAACATTCTTTGATAAAGAGGTTTGAAACTGGATCTCTCTGTCTTTTCTGGTCTTTTGCCTTCCCCCTGTTATGGACAAAGAGTGACTTTCCCTGTCTTTTGCACATGTACAAAGCACCATATGACACGCGGGCAACCCCACGGCTGTATCTGCCCTGCATGGGAAGAAACAGGGAGAGTCTCCTTCGACTGCAGCACAGAAGGCATGGGCATGGAACACCGGCCTGCAGCAGCCACGAAGGGGGCCTTGCTGGCCATGGAGAACCAGTGGCACAACTGAAGCTGGTCTTGTTCTGTCTCATGAGTACAGAGCTTCCCCAACCACTTGTCAAGCATGTGGTTTGAGTCATTTGTTGTTGACCTTGGGGACTCAGTTTATCTGAAAAATGAGGAGCTAGTGTTGGAGAACCATTAAGTTCTCTCTTGACACTCAGATTTAATCATCTTTTCTGAGGAAGCAAATGGATTCATCATCAAGTAAGTTACTAACATCCTACATATCCTTCCTTTTAGAGTGCCCCCACTCCTTCCAAGCTTTAGGTCAAGTGCAATTCACTCTTCACATTGCTCTTGAGATACAAACAGGTCAGTTAAAGATTCTCTAGGCGAGCAAATGTTTTGAGAATGATGAGGGCAATGAATGTACAAATGCGCTTTACACAATTGATATATGTATGGATTGTGAAAAGAGTTGTATGAGCCCCTAATAAAAATTTTTTTTAAAGATTCTCCAGGCACACATATCTGTCCCACATCATAAACGTAACTTTCTGAATAATTAAGTCAGGGTTTGACCCACCCCCTGTAGCTTATCCTGCTCTGAATCTTGCCTTCCCTGCACTCTGACTCCTGCTCAAGGGTGACAGTGTAAAGTCTACTTTGCCTTTGAGAGCTGCACAGCCGTTCAACCCATCAATGGCCAACTTGAATAAAGTCTACTTCCCATCAGACGGTTTCCCTTAGTATGTCGGACACCCACAGTGTCCCTAATGTTCAAATAGCATCTGCTGACAACGCTAGGTGTCAGGCTCCCTCCCAGGCACCCTGAATGTCTGCCACACGACCAACGCGCAGGGCCAGTTGTATTCGAGAAGGGGGAAGGTGTGGACAGGCAGGTTAAGAACTAACTGATCATTAACTTGTGATAATTTGAAGCCGTCCCCGCAACATTTCTCCAAAGGACCGAATGACTCTTAAGACCCAAGGGTACACCTGGTGCCGGAGAGGGGGAGGCGAGCAGCAGGCCGGAGTGAGGTTGGTCCGAGGCTTGTCTGCAGGGTCGGCGCCCACACCGGTAAGGCGCCCACCCAGAGGCACCTAACGCGTGCCTGGGGCACATTGCAAGCAGCCCTCACCGGACAGGTGCCACCAGTCCAAGACAGGGAGGGGTGGCCCAGGGCCAGACCTGGACCTCCAGTCACGGCAGGGAGCCCCACATCCCAACCCGAACATCCTGTTCCCAGACCCATCTCGGAGCTCCCAGCTCCCCGAACCCGAGTCCCCGCCGACCTGCCACGAACCTGCCTCCAGCCTCCTCGGCGGAGCCCAGTCTCGGCCCGCGGGGCAGCTGAGTCGACAGCAAGTACAGGGCGAGGGTACAGCCGGCGAAGACCAGGAGGAGGCCGAGCAGGGGGCGCATGTCGACTGCCGCACCGCGCACGCCGGGCCGCGCGGCCGCCGGAGCCTGGAGCAGCGTCGGGACCCGGCGCGGGGCGGACTGAGCGCGCGGAGCGCGTTCGCGGACGGACCGGGGCGGTGCCCGCTGCCAAGCCCCGCCCCTCAGCCCTCGCCCCACCCATCTCCCCGCCCTTGCCCCGGGCCCCGCCCCTCGGCCTCGCCCCACCCACTTCCCCGCCCTCGTCCCTTGCCCCGCCCCTCCCATCTCCTGGCCCGGGCCCGGTCCCTCGCCCCCGGGCTCCACCCTCTCATTTCTCAACGCGGATTTCAGGAAAAACCTGTCTCCCCAGCACCTCGTCGTGGCCTTTTCCACGTCGACTCCTGCGTTTTTCTTCACGTATCAAGCATTGAACCCGCAGCGGGCTGGCAGCCCCCTAGCCATGCCACCCCTGTCCACGCCGGCTGGAACGAGGCAAACGCAGCCAGGGGAGAACCAGAGGTCCAGTCGTCAGTTACGTTGACGTCAGAAATCATGGGAGCGACCTTGCGCTGAGCGTCCACTCCCTGCCGAACCACAAAACTGAACCCACTGCCGGAGAGTCGATAGCGACCCTATCAGGCAGAACAGACTGTCCCGCAGGGTTTGCGGGCCTATCGATCTTGACGGGAGTAGAAAAATGACTATCCCTAATCCTTTACCAATCCTGCAAGGTGCATGTTTTTGTCTTTCAAAAAGAGGAGACGAGCCAGTCAGGGTGCAGTGTAGCAATGATGAAACATACAACTTTCCTCTAGTTCCTAAATGCTTCCTCCCCCCACGATCATGATCCCAATTCTTCCTTACAAATCTGGCTAGACCAGAGGATGTGCACTGGTACAAATAGGAACTGGAAACACAGGGAGTCCAGGGGGGATGATCCCTTCAGGGCCAGTGGTGCGTGGTGATACCAGGAGGGTGGAGGGAAGGTGGGGTGGAAAGGGGGAACCGATTACAAGGATCTATATATAACCTCCTCTCTGGGGTATGGACAACAGAAAAGTGAGTGAAGGGAGACGACAGACAGTGTAAGATAGAACAAAATAATAATTCATAAATTATCAAGGGTTCATGAGGGAGGAGGGAGGAGGTAGGGAGGGGGGAAATGAGGAGCTCATGCCAGGGGCTTAAGTGGAGAGCAAAAGTTTCGAGAATGATGAGGGCAATGAATGTACAAATGTGCTTTATACAATTGATATATGTATGGATTGTGGTAAGATTTGTATGAGCCCCTAATAAAATGATTAAAGAAAAATCTGTGCCTCACATTGACATCCCCCAGGGGAGATTCAGGATTAAAACCCAAGCCGACCTGGTGCTCACACTACAGGCTCTTTCTGTGTGCACTCATACAGGAGGCGTGGTTTGAGGCGACTTAAAGAAAGGGGGTATTTCCACCAACAGAGAAAGGAGGCAGAGCAGGAGCCGAGGCCCAAGCCAGTCCAGGTCCAGTGGGAGAGAAGCCCAGGGTGCATTGGGAGATGGGTGTGAAGTGGGGAAGACTAGAACATATTGCACGGAAGGCTAAGAGCTGGCGGGTTAATACTGTTGACAGATGTCCACAACGGGGTTTCAGCAAGAGAAGGGTGCAGGTCCATGTCAGGATGCTGGGGCCGCAGGCAACTGGAATACACAGGATGGTGGTAGCTACAACTGTCCTGGCTGAACAGAACGCAGGTGGAGCCAGGACGATACCTGTGGGAAGGGACCGAGGGATCAACAGGCAGGGAGGGACTGAGTTGTTAGAACTTGTGTGAGTCCAGGTGGACTAAAACAAATTCAGAGACACTCATGTGTATAAGAAAGAGTTTTATATAAAAGAGGAATTGCATATTGAGAACACAGCCCAGCCCAGTGAAAATCAAGTCCATATGTCTGATACCAGTCTACAAATTCGTCTTCAGACTCATGCAGCACATGCAATGGTGCCAAATGCAGGAAGATCGCAGGCCACTGGGTACAAAGTCAGTGGTGGTAGAAGCATCTCAGTGCTGGCAGGTGTCTCCATGTGGCTCCTCCAGTTCCCAGAGCTCCATCAGGATAGATCCATGTGGCTTCTCCTCAGGATAGATCCATGTGGCTTCTCCTCTCTGCTCACAGGAATTGAGGAGAGAAAGAGAGTCTCCCTGATTCCATGGAAGAAATACAGGAGTTCCCAGAATTCTCAGGAGAAGGCCATGCCTACAGAAGCCTCGTTGGCTCTGATCCAATTGACAGACTAGACTCTACCCCTTCACTCTTAATCCCCTCAAGTCCCAAATTGACACCAGACTATGTAACCACCACAGTTTCCATGTGGCTCCTACAGCTCCAGGGCTCAGTGTACCTCCATGTGTCTTGTCAGTGGGAAGATGAAGCAGAGAGAGTGTGTCCCGCCTCCAGTGACAGGAATTCCCAGAATCCTCAGAAGGCCATGCCCACACAAAGGCCTCTTTGGCTATGACCTGATTGACAAGCTAGACTCCACCCCTTCACTCAAGTTGACAGGAGATTATGTAACTGCCACAGGACTCAAAAAGACAAACTCATTGTCATTGAATCAATCCCAACTCACAATGACCCCAGAGGGCAGGGTCTCCTTGTGGGTTTTTGAGGTGTTAATTCTTTCCTGGAGTGGAAAGCCTCATCTTCCTCCTGCAGAGTGGCTTCAAACTACTAACCTTGCCGTTAGTAGCCCATCTCACAAGCCACTCAAGACCAGTGACTGCTTAAATGGAAGAAAGGAAAGGAGGGCTCCGCAGTGCCACAGCGTGGACACCTGAGAACGGTTCCCACCGTAGCAGCCAAGGCACTTCTTGGCCTACTCAGGAAACATCTTCATAACTGGAAGTGGACATGGTCCCAGCAATGTCACGACTGGGAATTTAACCTACTGATATGCCCACAGGTAGGGAAAAAAACAAACCACCGGGGCCTCTCTCCACAACTCATTGCTGCCAAGTCATTCGACTCAGAGTGACCCTATGGGACAGGGTAGAACTGCCCCTACAAGGTTCCAAGACTGTCATGTTTACAGGAGTAGAAAGCCTCATTTTTATTTATTTTGCTACAAAACTGCAGCTTCCTTTAGTAAACAAAAAATATCAAAATGTGAAGCTATTGCTTCTCAACATATCCTCCATCTAGGTCTATCCACTCTGAAGATGGCATTTGTTTTTGTTTTGTTTTTAATTTTATTTTATTGGGGGCTCTTACAGCTCTTATCACAATCCATACCTGTATCCATTGTGTCAAACACATCTGTACATATGTTGCCATCATCTTTTTCAAAACATTTTCTTTCTACTTGAACCCTTGGTATCAGCTCATTTTTTTCCTCCCTCCCCCATAACTCCTTGATAATTTATAAATTATTCAGGGTTGAGTTAGTTAATTGTGCCAACTTGGCCGATAATCACATGTGGGGCTAATTGAAAGGCAGAGGGATAAATGGGTGGTGAGCCTCGCCTTTCTAGTTTTCAGGTCTCTTACTTTGTGATCATCGCACCAGGGTGTTGCTGCCTTAGCAGCTCCCTGCTTCAGCTTGCAAGATTGACTTCCTACAAGACATCCCCAAGGAGAAGCCACATGGACCTATCCCGATGCAGTCCTGGGTGCTGGAGCAGCCGTGTGGAGACCCCTGCTAGTGCTGAGATGCTTATTCGTTTACTGACTCAGCTTTCCTCCTGCAGTTGGCATCATTGCCTCTGTTTTGTGAGGTGGAGGACTTTGTGGACTGATGTTGGGTTAATGGGTTAATGTTGGACTTGTGGGCTTGGGCAGCATTGGGTTGGGATGTTTTTGTGATGCACACTTTCTTTACATAAAACTCTCTTATACATGAGTTGCTGTGGATTTGTTTCTCCAAAGTACCCAGACTAATACAGGGTTTTTTTTTTTTCATGTCTTACACTGACCACTGTCTCCCTTCACCCACTTGTATGTTGTCTGTCCCCCTGGGAGGGGAGGACCATACATAGATTATTGTGATCAGTTCCCCACACCTTACCCTCCTAATAGCACTACCCCCCTTATTGGCCCTGAGGGGTTTATCTGTCTTGGATTCCCTGTGTTTCCAGCTCTTAACTGTACCAGTGTACATGCTCTGGTCTATCCAGATTTGTAAGGTAGAATTGGGTTCATGATAGTGGGGGTGGGTGGGTGGGGGAGGAAACATTAAAGAACTAGAGGAAGGTTGTGTGTTTAGTCCATGCTATACTGCACCCTGACTGGCTCATCTCTTTCTTGTGGCCCTTCTGTTGGGGTGTCCAATTGACTACTGATGGGCTTTGGGTATCCCCTCTGCCCCCCACCCCTTATTAACATCAATATGATTTTGTTTTGCTTTGGGTCTTTGATGCCTGATACCTGATCCCATCGACACTTCATGAACACACAGGCTGGTGTGCTTCTTCCATGTGGGCTTTGTTGTTTCTCAGCTAGATGGCCGCATGTTTATCTTAAAGCCTTTAAGACCCCAGATGCTATATCTTCCTTCAAGACATTTGCTTGTGCACCCATTTTGTCTTCAGTGATCGTGTCAGGGAAGGTGAGCATCACAGAGTACGGGTTAGTAGAGCAAAGTGTTCTTGTGCTGAGGGAATATTTGAGTGGAGGCCCAATGTCCATCTGCTACCATAATACTTTATAAATAAATATATGTACATAGATCTATTCCCCTATCATTATATAAATGCATTTACATAAATACATGCCTTTATTTAGACCTCTATAAATGTCCTTTGCCTCCCAGTTCTTTCCTCTATTTCCTTTTACTTTCCTCCTGTCCCACTATCATGTTCAGCTTTTATTCAGGTTTTGGTAATTCCTCTCGGCTACACTGCCCTTGATAAAGCCTCCCCAAACACCCTGTGCCCTACTTACCATCAATTTTAGATCACTTGTTCTTCTCTTGTCCCTGGGTTTGTTGGAACCTTTTTCTTTCCCCCACCTCCCTTCTCCCATGCCCCCTGGAACTGTCGGTCCCAGTGTTCTCTCCTCTTGAT